AGAGAGAGAGAGAGAGAGAGAGAGAGAGAGAGAGAGAGAGAGAGAGAGAGAGAGCAAGTCCGAAGTGTTGTTTCAACCACTGCCCAAGCCTGAGCACTTTCGTCGGATGGACTGAAAGTGAGGCAACGGGTGGGGATGCCGCTGCTTTGGCCCCGTTTCGATTTTTCGACCAAAACTCCGTGCGGTCCCACGGGCAGCTACTGGTCCTGCAGTTTCAAATAAGATGCCACCAACCCCTAAACTGCCATGCCTTGTTTTTCCAGCCTTCCAACTACTGTATAACGAACGACGACGACGCACCCCTGACGGGCTGCGAACAGAAAAAACCCCCATCCCCTATAGGCTGCGAACAACCCGGGCCTTACCCCTGGGCCTCAAAGCTGGGCTTGCCCTCGGATACAAGCGTCCTCAAACATTGCCTGGCCCGAAGTGCCCTTCCATGCCCATGGGTTGCGTGTCCGAGCCTTTGGAAGGTAAACTTCTAGTTTGAGTGGCCCGTTAGGCCATACTGACGTCAGCGTTTGCTGGACCACGCGGGGAGAGAACCTCCCGCGTTGTGAGCGATCTCCCACAAGTGTGCTTTGTGCGTTTCGGTCGCCTACCGGTAGTTGCACAACTCGCCATCCTCCGGCATTTTGAATGCATCTCGCCGCTAAATTCAGTCCCGATGCATTCAAATGTTGGCGGATGCCGAGTTCCCCAACTGGGCCCGAATGCATTCAAAATGTTGCCGACTTGCCGAATCATGCAACAAGGCCCTTTCAAAATGTTGCCGACTGCCTGATCATGCAACAAGACCCTCGGTGTCATACGCGAGAGTTAGTAGCAGCTGGCTGTAATTTTAGATCATCCACAATGTGCAGTTCTGCGTCGAGTCTACGAAAATTATTATGGGATCGGTGTAGTCCTCGAGTTTTACGAGCTGCCGTCGTCGCTCGAGCACAACGCACCCTCGTACTGAATGCATTTGAGCAATCTTTCTGGTCCGATACAGTCGCGATGGGTGTGCAGTATATTCAGGGCAAAACGGGGTCGGTAATGTACTGTACCTGGGTATGATCAACTACCAAGAGCCATTCTTTGAAGATGCAAGAAGGCAAGACGTAACGTAGTTGGGGAGAGGGCGTAAGTGCACACTCTGGATTTTCACTGCCCGTGAATAAGTGGTGTTGCTGCCTCGTTTGGATTCTTCCGCGCATCTGCAACAGATAAGTTCTGTCCTCACTTGGCGCCTGTGCACTCTTCCGGGCATTTGCAGGTGAGAGCGTTCTGCTGCGCGGTAATCCAAACGCGGCAGCAATACCGCGCCTACGCTTTATTCCCGCCAATTCCCGCCAATTCCCGCGTAAAATCGTTGTGGAAATATCGAAAAAATGATGCTGATTTGGCAAGACGAGACGGGATAGTGACAGCCACAGCCAACTTGTGTCCGGGACGTGGCAAATCAACAGCCAGGGAAATTTTGCCAGGATCGGAGGGGTTAACGCTGTTGGCGGATCTCGATCTTGTGTGGCGGGTCGTTTGACTGTCAATCCTTTCCTTAATCAGTGTAATCAATCCTTTCGTTAATTGGTATTTTGGTTCAGTGGTTGATAGCATCACTAAACCGGCAGATTTCTGAGACCGTCTGACCACCCTGACTCGGTAATCCATCCTTTCTTGGGTGAATCACTCCTCTCGTCAATGTGGTTCACAAATTTGCCAAATGGGTGATTTCTAAGACTGTCGTCTGACCATCAATCCTTTCCACAAATTTGCCAAATGGGTGATTTCTAAGACTGTCGTCTGACCATCAATCCTTTCCCGAATTGGCAACCAATCCTTTCCCGAATTGGCAACCAGTCCTTTCCTTGGGGTAATCAATCGGTTGGTTAATTGGTGGTTTTAATCCCATGAATTGATACAGGTGCGCATCACGAAGACGGCGCCAGGAAACGTAAGTGATCGAGAGAGAGAGAGAGAGAGAGAGAGAGAGAGAGAGAGAGAGAGAGAGAGAGAGAGAGAGACGGGGGGCGCGTTCTTGTGTCCTGCCACGTGGCGACGCCACGATGTCTCATTATTGTCCAGAATGCAAGACACAGACAGAGATCGTGCAAGACCATGCGGCGGGTGACATGATCTGTAAGGAGTGCGGCCTCGTCCTCGAGTCGCACAGTATCGATGAGACGAGCGAATGGCGTACCTTCACGAACGAAGCCGGAAATACCGATCCCGTCCGTGTAGGTGGTCCCAGCAATCCCTTGTTGACTGATGGAGGCTTGTCAACGATCATCTCAAGACCTAACGGCGGCGGGGAAATTGCCGGAAATCTCGGAAGGTGGCAGAATCGTGGCGCTAATCCGGATCGCAACCTCATCAACGCTTTTCGCTCCATCGCCGGGATGGCAGAGAGGTAAGCAACGTAAGCCCTCCCTCTCTCTCTCCCTCTTTCCTCACGTCCTCCCTCCCTCTCTTTCTTTCTCCTCCCTTGCTTTTTCCCCTTCTTGTTCTCTTCCCTCTCCTCCTCCTCCTCCTCCTCTTCCTCTAGTTCCTCCTTACCCTCCTTACCCTACTGCCATTTTCTCTTCCCTTCCCTCCCCTCCTTTTGCTCCTCTTCGTATCCCTCCACACCCTCCTCTCCTTCCCCCCTCCTCGTCCTCGCCCCTCGTTCCCTTCCCGATTCGTCTCCCCGCTCCCTTCTAATCCTCCTTCCGCCTCTTAGCCATCGAGCCCAGCTGTTTCTCTCTCATCCGCTCTCTTGCGAGGTTTTGCTAGCTGGCTGCCCCCTCCCGCTCCGCAGTAACATCTCTTAGCAGGTGGAAGCGTCTGGCTGCCCCCTCCCTAGTGAATGGGTCTCTAGGTGGGGGGTTGTTGATCAATTCGATGGTCATTGGCCTCTACTGAATGTGTCTCTTAGCAGTTGTTATCTGCCGCACGCTCTAGTGGGTGATCAGTGTTCTTTGTGTGTTGTTTGTTAAGTTGGACGTTTTGCGGCTTGCACGTGTCATCTTTGCTAAAGTGCCATGTTAATCTTTTTCTCTATATCGTTCCAGTTTTAACGGATGTCCCATTTTAAGGAAGTCCCTTGGGACTTGCACTGGACTTCTGCGCTTACGGACGTGATTGCGGTGGTCAGACACATTCACCTCCGGCAGTAAAAGCGGTCAGATACATCTCTATATGCATCACAGATAGAGCTAGTGTGAGCAGGTCCTGATCTGGCCAGTCAGCGTGTTTTATGCACAATGGAGAGAAAAGAAAACCGAAGTGCAGAGGCTAAAAATGGGTCGATCTGAAGCTTTCTGGCGAACCGAGGGTAGTTGGTTGGTTGATTGATTGGTCTGTGGCCACATAGGGTTTTGACCACATGGACCGGGGTGACTATGTGATTTGATTGATTGATGGGCTGGTTGATTGGCTGGTTGATTGATTGGTTGATTGATTTGTTGACCGATGCAAACTGAATGATAATGGTCCTGGATGACTTACGGATTGCGCAGGTGAAAATGACGTTTGATTGGTTGATTTGGCGCTTGATTGGTTGATTGATCGATTATCATTGGGTGCTCTGGTGGAATGATTGACGAGACAAGTGAGGACGGGCCGCGCCTGATTCGATTGGTGGCGTTATCGTCATGAACGGTTTGGATGGGCAGGCGTATGAAAAATTGTTGACGTGCGGCCATTCGGACGGTAGATCTGTGTAATGAGCAAAGCTATAAGCTGCTAAGCGGAGAAAACCGCGAGAATGGTTGGTGATGGATAACTGTTAGATTCGATCCAGCCCATCTGAAGCTTTGGGATGACCGTCAGATTCAATCCTGACGCCACGTAGTCGTTGCTGTGATGTCTCATGTCCTGCAGATGAGTTTCGCCTCCGTTATTCAGTGCAGGCTAGCGCGGCTGTCCACTTGCGCTCGCCACACGCACACACACCACCGTCCGTTATTCAGTGCAGGCTAGCGCGGCTGTCCGCTTTTTTTGTGATGTTCTTTATAGCTTACATGACAATACAGACACATTCTCGGCAGACGGTCTATCGGGGTTCAACCTCCTGACGAGTCGTTGAAAGTCCAACGAAACAATTTGGCACAGTGACTCTTTTTTTTGTTGTGGAGTTGTGTATAGCATACGTGACAACACATACACACACACAGACACACACACACACACACACACACACACACACACACAGAGAGAGAGAGAGAGAGAGAGAGAGAGAGAGAGAGTCACGCTTCTTTTATTGGATTTTGTACGCAATACATGACAACACACACACACACACTCACACACAGGCAGAGAGAGAGAGAGAGAGAGAGAGAGAGAGAGAGAGAGAGAGAGAGAGAGAGAGAGAGAGAGAGAGCTGTGCTGCTTTATTCCTTCCTTTCAGAGTTGTTGGTACTGCTTTTAGTGTTTTTCTTTTTCTTGGTTTCCTCATAGGCATCGATGTGAATTATTATTTTTTGGTTTTTGGAAAAAGATTTTATTGGTAAGGTTTGAGAGGTTTGAGAGCGGCTCATAGGCATCGATGTGAATTATTATTTTTTTTTTGCCGCTTTTCCTTTCGTTCTTGTGCCCTCCTGTTGGTCTGGTGTCATCCTGCGTAATAATTAACTATGTTTTCTTTGTGTGCATCTTTGTTGTGTCTGTGCTTTGTTCGGATGTGAATTATTATTTTTTCTTTTGCCGCTTTTCCTTTCGTTCTTGTGCCCTCCTGGTGTCATCCTGCTTAATAATTAACTATGTTTTCTTTGTGTGCATCTTTGTTGTGTCTGTGCTTTGTTCGGCTCTTGGGCGTCGGAATCTCTCTCTCTTCTTGCGGGGAGGCAATCCGCACGTGCTACGGCGTCCTTCCACGGGGGTTTGTGTGGACGAATGGATGATTGACTGGTGATAATGATGATGGCGCTGGTTTGACATGGGCGGGTTGTCATGCTGGCGGGCTCGCATGCATCATTCCCGTTCTCTGTCACGTCTTTGCACGACAGATTGGGACTTGTCTCCACGATTAAGGTGAAACTTTTTGAACCGAAGTTCACTTTCCCCTTCTCCACCCCCCTCCGGGAACCCCCCCCCCCCCCCCCCCCCCCCTTCCCCCAACCCCTCCGCGCAACCCCACTCCAACCCATCAACCCCACTCCAACCCATCAACCCCACTCCAACCCATCAAATTCCCCACTCTATCTCATCGTTTCCTTCTTTGGCAAATTAGGGCTTCTTGAATTAGCAATCTCCTCGTTTGTTTGTTTGCTTTGTTGTTGTGGACTCAAGTTTGTGCGCGAAGCTCCAGGCCACTCAGGAGGACCTCAGAAAACTTCGCTTCCTTAACTTCGCTTCCTTGTTGTGGACTCAAGTTTGTGTGCAATCTTCCATAACTTCCCTTCCTTGTTGAATTAACGATTTAGGTTTCTCCCATCTGCTCGCCGCCACTCAGGTGGAATTGCATTTGCTTTTTTCACCCTCAGGCTACTGAGATGTTTCAGTTCCCGAGATTCACTCTTATGTGCCTATGGATTCAGCGGCAGTGCGACAATTTTGCCACTGAACTATGCCCGCCTAGCCTACAACTAGAATAGCATAAATTGATATCACATATTGATTCCGGATTCATCATCCTAGGTACCCATCTATGAATTCTCCGGGGCTGTAATAGGCGAGGAAGTAAAAGCACCGTGAAGAGCTAAACAAAGAAGTTAAGATATCACATATTGATGCCGGATTCTTCATCCTAGCTACCCGACTATTGCGTGGTAAAAGCTCAGGAGACGATTCAATTCGATTCGAAATCGAGGGAGGATTGTGGCGCTCGCGGCGCATTAAGGCGAAGCGTAATCCAACTAAATATCACATATTTATATCGATTTTGAATTCTTGAAGTCCAAAGATTCCAGTAGGCATAGAAGATTGTGGTATATCACATATCTATATCGATTTTGAATTCTTGAAGTCCAAAGATCCAATATTACTGAATTCCCCCTTCCAACGTGGCAACATTAGCAGCCATTTGAAGGTCGATCAGCAGGCTCGCCATATTTTGATCGAAGAGGAAGACCCCTTCCCCATTACTGATGAGATTGTCAGAGTATAATTTCATTTCTATATCGAAGACCCTTCCCTAGGGGAAATGTCAAGTGGTTCAGGGCAGAATAGTTTAGCAGGTGAGAACAGGTTCAAGGCAGAATAGTATAATCATAATATTTCGCATGTCGGGGTGCTCTGTCCGATCGCCGCCAGATCTTCGCAGTGAGCCTAAGCGTAATTTTGGGAAAGCAGGGCAAAGTAGAACACACAACCGCTTTCGACTCACTGAATCATTCCGTCGCCTTTCTTTGGCTCTGGTATCAACCTGATCTAACGGTGTCTAACGGTGTCTAACGGTGTCTAACGGTTTGAACCTGATCTTCCGGACTCAAAAGACATTATGCAGGTCCCTGGGTTGGAACCCAGGTTGGTAGGGAGTGTCTAACGGTGGACCAGATCCTGGGCTCCGTAAAGGACAGACGAGGAGGCGGAGGGCGCTGGAAGTGCACATTGAGCACTGGGCAGTACGATTGGGCTGATCCTAGACAGCGGGCAGTGTCATGCGCTGAGCTATAAGACAGCGTGCAGGCGGCGCTTGTGCAGGGGAAAAAAGAAGAAATAAATATGCACTGTACCAAGAAATAATTTACATTATATAAGAAATATAATATATATATATATTTCTTTAGTAATTTATAATTAGTAGAAGTTTTTTGAAGCTTGTGATATCAAGAGTTGCTTTCTGTGTAAGCATCTTACGATTCAATAATACTCTGTGACTTAATAGCTGTCTGGCGAGCACACGCGATAGCTGTTTGACAGCGCTGAGCTATAAGACAGCGTGCAGGCGGCGCTTGTGCAGGGGAAAAAAGAAATAAATATGCTCTGTACTAAGAAATAATTTACATTATATAAGAAATATAATATATATATATTAGTAATTTATAATTAGTAGAAGTTTTTTGGAGCTTGTGATATCAAGAGTTGCTATCTGTGTAAGCATCTTACGATTCAATAATACTCTGTGACTTAATAGCTGTCTGGCGAGCACACGCGATAGCTGTTTGACAGCGCTGTGCAAGGAAGAGGTGGCGGGAGGTTGGGGTAGGTGGTGAGAGGAGAGTGGCAGTGTGAACTGGGGGATACATACCTGGTGTTGCCCAAGGAGCACCTCTGTGATCAGGCTCCTCAGCAACATCTGGGGAGAGGAGGGCGGAGAGAGTGAAAAGTAGTAGACTAGTGTGTGTAGTCGAGTAGGAGAGTTGAAGAGCGGCGGTGGGAGCGCCACTGTGATCAGGCTCTTCAGCGACATCTTGCGACAGATATTTAACCTGGTGTTGGCCGAAGAGCGCCTCTGTGATCAGACTCTTCAGGGGCATCTGGCGAGAGAGAGAAAGAGAGAGAGAGAGAGAGAGAGAGAGAGAGGTAGTAGAGCAGATTGTGTAGTGGAAGAGGGGGTTAGTATACGCGGGTTTATCATAGGTAGGGCTACTACACTGTTGTTGTATCGACTGTTCGGGGAGAGAAGAGCGCTTGCGTTGTAAAGAGACGACAGGCTGCAGTAAATTCTTGGATTGGTGTCTCTCATTTTTTTCATTCTGCTCTTTCAACTCGGCTTATTGATGATTGGTCTTCCATGAGCTCTTTCATCTCGAACATTTCCTGCTGTTGACCTTTTCATTTGTGTGTGGGTGTGTGCTCTATTTGCTAAGCACAACTCTTTGGAAGAAGAGTGACTGTGACGGGCTGTTTTTTCCGGGTGTGTTTACAAGTGGATGTCGGTGGTTCCTTTACGCTGTTTTCAGCCTCCCCTTTCAATGTGCTAAACTTCGTGAGAACATGAGACATGATGTCGCCCCACGTGGTGTGTTTGTTTGTTTGTTTGTTTGTTTGTTTTGTGTGTGTGTGTGTGAGCCTCCCTTTTTTGGTTTATTAGTTGTTAACCCTTTTCAATTGGCTATAACTTTCTTATGTCTGGCACTACTCAGGTCTCAGTGAGAAAATGAGACAACATTATGTCACCCTACGTGGATGACCTAAAGAGAACCTGGTCGTACCTGGTCGTGAGATTGATCAGTCTCTTGTTTGGGGTCCAGAAGTGCTTTTCTAATAAAATGGCAAGAGTTTGGGCCCATGGAGGCAGGCCATTCAGTGAGGCGGAGGCACTTGTCCGAAGCCTTTGTCTTCAAATCATTAGAGGGGTTGTTGTGGTGGCAAAGGGGATCGTCTCCTGCCTAGGCGGAAACGGGTGGGTGGGTTTTGCAGTACTTTGTAGGGGTGTTTTTTATTTGGCTCAGGGGCAACGGTCTCAGGAGCAACCTTGCCGTCTCTGATGTGCATAACAGCTGTATCTTGTGAGAATGTACTTGGTCATCTCCATGCACCCGTTTGCAAATGGTAGGGACTGTACATTGGATCCTGTCCAGGTTGCTGTGGAGCTGATGGCTCGCCTTTCTCTAAAGGGGAAGGAAATGTTTTATCTCAGACATTGTCCGAATGCTGGTGAATAAGACGTCCAGGCACATTCCAGGAGGAAGGATACCTTGTGAATGCTGCTGGTTATTGGAGATTCTGCTGCTTATTGATGATTCACCACTGTGAATGCTCTCGTCTTCGGGCGCACTCGCACTTGTACTGTTTTGATTGAGGGCCTCGCTTCAGCTGCCCAACGTTCTGCATGTATCTGGATCTCATAATCCTCCCGCTACATTCGAATTGTTGAACTCCTCTGAATGCATCTCATACAGAGAGGCGTCCAAATACATGTAGAGTGTTGGACAGTAGAGCGAGGCCCTGGATCTCGCCCTGACTGTGCCCGAGTACAATAATGAATGGCTTTAGTGTGATTAGATACCCTTATCGTGCTTCTAAATAAATAATAATGGTCGATTTGATCACAGTTCGAGCTCCTGCTGGATAAAGTAACACGGCGAGGGAGGTTGAAGAATAGAGTTATTTCAACGGTTGTTTCCCCTGCCGGTGAAGTGCATGAGGACAAGTCATTACTTGGGATAATGGTGGCAAAGATTGCAGCAGCTGCTGCTGCCGCTGCTACTATTTCTCCATGTGCTGATGAGAAAAACGTCTCGGTGAAGTCAAATGGTAGGGGTCGCAGAATGATAGAATATTAGAGACGCCAGGGGTAACGCAGGGATGAATATTATCCCTTAGAGGCTCCAGGGGTCATCCGCGGATGGATATTGCCACTTCAGGGGTTATGCAAATGGTAGGGGTCGCAGAAGGATGAAATATTGTGATCCTTAGGGACGCCAGGGGTCTTGTAGGGATGGATATTGACCCTTAGAGGCTCCAGGGTC